AAAAAAAAAAAAAAAGAAAAGAAAAAGAAAAAGAAAAGTGAAAAGAAAGGAAAAAAGAAAATGTTCTACCTCATCAGAATGAGATTACTGACCCTGACCTATCAGGGAAATGCCATGAATTCCTCCAGAGAGTAGTTTCACCCATAGTATTTTCCTCGCTCCATTGACTTATATAATCATTTTTGTTTTCTTTCCTAACGATCTTTTAGAAAAATAACTTAATCACGAGTAGACATTAAGAAAATAAAATAAAATTTTAAATGTCTGGTTGTATAAATATATATAGGCCAGATGCGGTGGTTCACGCTTGTAATCCCAGCACTTTGGGAGCTGAGGAAGGGGGATCATGAGGTCAGGAGATCAAGACCATCCTGGCCAGCGAGGTGAAACCCTGTCTCTACTAAAAATACAAAAATTAGCAGAGCATGGTGGCACATGCCTGTAGTCCCAGCTACTCAGGAGGCTGAGGCAGGAGATTCACTTGAACCCGGGGGACAAAGGCTGCAGTGAGCTGAGATCATGCCACTGTACTGCTGCCTGGGTGACAGAGCAAGACTCCATCTCAAAATATATATATATATATATCTCCATATATATGTTCCCAATTCATTTAAATATGCTCCGTTTCTCATTTCTTTGCTGACCTGTAGCTGGTAAAGGTAAGTATTTTCATGATTTTTAAATTAAATGTTTTTAAATAATTTTAATAATACGAAGTTTGAGGAATATCATGATCTTGTTTACAGGGTCAATCTCCTACTTTCTAGCCAAACCCAGAATATTTAGGTTAGCTTTATTGTTTACAAAACAAAAATGTCTATCACAACAAAAATGTAGAAACAACCTAATGTCTACCATTCATACAGTCACAAAGGTAATAGCCATGAAGGTGTTGTAATAACATGCAAAACAAATGGTCAATATGTTAAGTGGAAAAAATACTAAATTAGACATGTATTATTTTCACTATATTAAAAAGCCATCCAATTTATAAAGCAAAATATAGGTAGAATTACACCTAAAATATTCAGTGGATGTGTTTTATTGGAGGTACTAGTTGCTACTCTGTTTCTTCTATATTTGATTTTTCTTTGAGATATGTATTTTTATTTATTTTCCACAAACCCAGTGCTTTAGAATTAAGTGTGAATCTTAAAAAGAAGCTTATTTTTTTCTGTGCATGGTGGCGTGTGTCTGTAGTCCCAGCTATTTGGGAGGCTGAGGCAGGAGGCGGAGGTTGCAGTGAGCCGAGATCGCATCATTGCACTCCAGCCTGGTACCTAGCAACAGAGCAAGCAAGACTCAATCT